GTATGTGCCAGGAAGAGTATTCAGTGTTTTTCTAATAAGCGCCAGCCATTTCTTTGCTGGAACGTTGTCTTCTGCGCCGAGGACGTTTCCAGCATTGAGAGGAACGATCTCTTGAAATCTGAAAGGAAAAAAGGAATATAGTTGACATAAACTACTTCAGTGTCACTAATTTTATACTGCTATAGCGTGTTTCTATTTTCTTTCAAATATCTTAAAATTTACAGGAGGAAAGCAGAAAAATTAACCCCAAAACATATATGTCTGCGGGAGGTGAAGCATGGATCCACTCCTCAAGATTCAAATTTCTCGGTGGAGACTTCCCACCTACATTCCATGTCGAGAGAAAAATTCTAGAAACCAAAGGGTAGAACATTTTTGGATCACATATCAAATTGGAGGCCACTCAAAGATAAAAAGATTGAAAGGAGCCAAAGAAAAAAAGAGGAAGATTACTTGTAGTCCTGAACATCTGTACTTTGAGCTGCGTCAACATCTAATTTTCCTTGCCAAACTCGATCGTAATTCTTCTTGTACAATCGCTCTGAGGACCATGAAGGAAAATTACCAAGAAAGAAATTGTGAAAGCCGGCACAGGCGAAACAAAAGAAACTAGCTATGTAGTTGTGGTCCAAAGTTATTAACCAGAGAAAGCCCGATACTTTATACCTGTTCTGCTTTTCTTTACTGTGCATGTCTCCCTTTCTGTGAAGCTGGTCCTCCATTCCCCATCACCTCCTGATGAACACAGAGAATAACGAATAAAGAAAAGGAAGAGACCAAGAAAAAGGGTGTGGCTACTGGCTGGTGTACTTATATTCTAATGACTTTTACGAGTTTATGCATAGCCAAAGGAACAGATTTAGTACTGCACAACACATCAACAGGATGATATTTCAGTTGCAGATGTAGGCGAAAGCCTACTAACAAGCAGGGCATATGGCAAAGCAACCAAGAAGAAATATAATATCCCCTATCCAAATTCATGCAGTAGAAATTTCTAACCATGAGAACGACTGCATGATAACTCAACACAAAACAACTTAAAGCTGTAAGCATGAGAACAACTGCCATAGGAATAGAAGCAATTAGAACTACCTTCTCCAGCTAAATCATCATCCGCATGGAAATCCTGAGGCTTGCTCTTGATGTTGAACCATTTCCTAACAAGCGTCTTGGACCACGATAGCTTCTCCAACAAAATGAGAGGGAAAAACGGGACCAAATCAGCAATCTTTCAGACCAAACAGAGGCACAACGATAAAAATCAAATCTTTCGGCAGGAAAACCTTGCTTTTCTTCGAGTTCTCATCTCTCATTGTTTCAGCACTCCTTCATGCAGCCGCCGCGAGGTGGTTCCCCTCCCCACCTAGAAGCCTTCAGAAATCTGGGCCTTGTTTGGATCCCAATGGAGAAGAACAGCAAAAGCCGCCCTTTTTCTGCGTGCTACGTGACAAAAGACCGATTCGAAAGATTTTCCCACGGAGATGGATCAGGGAACTAGGAAGCCGCAGGAAAAGAGAAAGCCGGCTATCACCCTCGACAAAGGTACATCACCCGAGGGTCTATCGCGGAAAACAACGAGAACCGAGCAGGAGCCTGAGGATCCTCTCCAGTCCAAAGCGGAAAGGGAACGAAAAACCTCTCCTTTCGCAAATGGGACTTCGATTTAAAGCTTCGGGCTACAAGTCTAACGCAATGCGGGGTGGTAAAGATCAGATTTTGGATACAGAAACTCTGATATGGGCACTGAACGGAAGAAAAAAGAGAGAATGGGAGAATGGGGGAAGCAATGGAGCGCTCACATTCACAGACACCGCCCTTTCTTTCTCCTCAACCTCGTCCTCGGGGCACAGCAAAGTATCCAATTTGTAGCGAAGAGAATAAAGCGCAAGCGTTGAGCGCTCTCTCTCTCTCCCCCTCTCCTCTTTGAGGCTTTTTTTTTTGGTTACCCAAAATCGGAGCAAAGCTGATGAATAAATAGGGAAGAAATAAATTTCTTTTGCTTAAATATCCTGAAAAATATCATTTTATTGATTTATATTATACTAAGAAATTATATGCCACTATCGTGAAAATCCATTTTACAAAACCAGATTAACCACTTATAATTATTATTAATATTAATGATTTTAAATCACAAAGTAAATAAAAATAAAATACTTGAGATTTTAGAATTTAATATTTTTTTAACCTAAAATTATAATTTAATGATGAGATATGGAATTCATCTATCAAAATTTAAGGTTTGAAAACCTCAATAGATATTTTAAAAATATTAATTAGCATACATGATAATGATTTTGATCGGTATAAAAAATCTTAAGATAGAATTATGTTTTATTTGGGAGTCACATCTAGCCTTATGTCAATCGGAGTTTTAAGGTACTGAGATGATTGACGCTTTATAACATATGAAAGTGATCTAAATTATCCAAAAATAATAATTTTTGTACTATTTATCGTAGTTGACATAATATACGAAAATAATTCGAAAACTATCTAACATCGATCTTTAACTATTTATCTTGCTGCTTGGGAGCCCCATCTAACACTAGAGTTTTAGGATGATTTATCTTATATTAAAAAATTATAATATCATAATGAATAGTTTAGAGACTACTAATCTAAATAAAAATATCATATATATATATATATACACCCCTTTATTTCTTCCGGTGCAGTGAGATCATTGTACTGCTTCACTGTCGCTTCTGTAGATGAAATCCTCGCATCTACTGGGAGAAAAAAATCTCATTGATAGGCTAGTGTGTGTAGATGAGTACAAGTGTTGGAAGAATGGGGGGTGTGAGAGTAGTGTGTCTCTCCTCTCTTTGAGTTCCATTTTGTCCTTTCATCCCTTCCAAGACAGTGAGACCACTGTCATCCTTCGGTTACAGGGCTGTGATCTACAGGGAATGGGAATGTTTAAAGGAATTCCCACTTTTTTGTTGCATGGAGAAAGGTAGGGTTTAGCTTCTGAGAGATAGATCCAAGTGTGTTCCTTGAACTTTGGGCTACTCGATGCTGGCCGATGCCTACCCTTGGAGGTCGCCGTCGAGCTGGCTCAATGCTTGATGAGGAGGTAGAGAGGCCTAGTCCTGCCTTTGGATGCACAAAGCAATTGGATGACACTATTGCTTGATTTAGCTCCTCAAATGGCCTCTGTTTTGAGGTCTGAACTGCACCGGTCTAGGATCCTAGCATGCTTAGATTTGGCTGAGAGAGAAAGGAGGGTTTGATTACGCAAGTTATGGTTAACGAGAGTTTGGAGAGCATCGAAAGGCTGGAAATTGCATCTCATGATCTGCAAGCGGGCATCGGACTAGTGTGATTCATGCATCATTGCATGCACAAGAGGAGGAGGAGGAGGAGGTGCCCTCTGTAAGTTGTGGATGGAAGAAGAAAAGAAGGAGAGAGAGATGGAAGTGCACGAGTGATATCACTAGTGCACTCGTGAGATGAATGGCAATCCTTTTCCCTCGTTCGAGCTCCACTTCTGGATTCCCCACTCACTGGGAGGGGTTAACTAAGATCACAGAGACGACTTGGATTCAATGAAGACAGGATGATCACACTAAGTGAGTGGCTCAACGCCATTGGCTTCGGCTCGTGAAGCAGTTGAATTCGGTGTGCGAATTGTTAGCATAAAAAAAAGAGGAGGAGACACAGAGAGTCAATGGGTAAGCAGTACCAACAGGGATTAGATCTAAAGGTTCTTCCATACTAAAATAGTCTGTGCTTACAGCCACACCGAGAGTCACATGCCGACAGCTGACGGTAACAAAGATTACACATTAAGAAGATCAAGTTGGGAACATGGGATCGTCCTCTGTGATGAAGAGCAGCTGCGTTGAGAAAACAGCGAGCTACTGTTCCCTGTTGCGTACCTAAATTTCTGGTTCTCTCTCGTTAGATAGATAGGTGTAGGCGACTTGTGAGAGTGAAGCACTCTATATGAGTTTTGATCGTAGAAAGTCCCAGCGGCTGCAAGAAGAACTCAAAAAGCTGCACTCACTGATTTCCACTTCTTTTGATTGTTAAGAGAGACTGACTGTCTTGATTGATTGTTAGGGTGTGACAGCACCTTCAGTCCCGAAATGCCACTAGTTGTTTAACAATTTTGGAAAGATCATGTGCATTTGGAGTCCATTGTCAAAGTCTTTTGATGGAGATCATTCAAGATTCACATGCGAGGTACAGCAGCCCATTGAGTTGTATGTGCAAACTTCAGTGGATCAGCATGACAAATTTCCAGCGAAGTACATCCATCCATATTATATTTATTACATGGAGAGAGAGAGAGAGTGTGTGTGTGTTGTAACTCATTGTTTTACGTTTAAGCATAGAATTCATTTTATTATTCTCACCAGTTTTCTTTACTTGGAAACCATCTCTATAGTTTGCAATCTGCACAACATGTGGAGTGGTTATATGCGCGAGGAGAGAGAAAGGGTAGTCAAAGGAGAGATCTAACAAAACTTTGAGCAAAGTATCTTCTCGCTCGCTCTCCTTTCCTTTTTTTTCAGCTTTAAGACCCTCCCTCTATACCGAGCTCATTGAGCTTTACTCTTTCTAATGGTTTTGTGCGAACATGTGCCCGTATCCTGCAGGCCTTTTCCTTGTGTCATTTTCTTGTACCTCTCTCTCCCTATATAAAGGAGGAGTACATGATATGTGAGTGAGTTCCTCCTGATAAAGCAACTTTGGCTCTCTAACTGCTGGAGTTTGTCGAACATAAATGGACGAGAAGAAATCAATATGAAAGAGGGGAGAAAAAATGAACAATAACACTGATTTATTGAGTGAACAATGTTTCCAAATGTTTTCACATTTTGAAGACTTGACAATGACTTGTTGCTATCCCGGAAGAAAAAAATTTCTCTTTAGGAAAGCACTATCATCCATCACCAAAACAATCAAGGGAAAGCAGGTGGTCAACTCTTCTCCTTGGAATTCAACTCAACTCATGTAAACAACTTACAAAGGCTGTGTCCATGTAATGTTGAGAATCACATCCTATGTGTTGAAACTGAAGCTCGGTGTTACAAAAATTCAAGCTCATAAAAATAATGGGATAAATAAAAGCAAAACATCACAACACCCAGGAGGACATGCTCTTGGACTACGTGGCTATAACATCTTTCTTATTTCCCTACAAAACTGCAACGAACAACTTGCATAGAACATCTATCTGCTTTGTACAGAATCCACAGGCCTCATCCGGAAATCTCCCTTTTATTAATTTGTGGTTCAATTCTTGCACCAAGATGCGGGGGCAGCCTGGTCAGAGCACTTAATAGAAATCCAGTTCACCACTTACAGTAACTGGTGGTACAATGTCGATCCTTGTTGCTTTACCTTCGGAAACCAATTGAGGCAGTGTATTAGCCTCCTTCGGTGCTGTGCCTGGTGCAGTCCAAAGCGTCGCATGAGGCCACTCATTTTTGGAGTTTATCTTTTCACCATTGATCGACCCCAGTTGTGCTTCTAAAGCAGCTACCTTGTCAGAGAATAGCAATGCCGTAAAATCAACAGGGAGATTCTGATTCAAAAAGACACCATAACTAGCAACAGTAGTGACACCGTGACTTCTTTTATGGGCAAGCGTTACATGCGCTTTCATCAGATTGTTCACCAAGCTTTTGTCCTCAAGGAAACTCTTGGCTTTTGGATCCTCATTCGCTAACTGTTTCAGAAACAAAAGTTTGAGGTTACTGTAGTACCACTAGACGTCAGTTACAACATTGTAACATTACAGGGCGAGTAGGTAAGAACAGGAATGGTACCAATGGAATTTGAGGGATTGTGAGGTCCAAAATACTGCATACAAGAATGCATAGATCAGGTATTACCTTATCCAAGAGGTTTTTAATTTCTCCGACAGGCAGTGTGACAGCAGCAAAAACGATGTTACCAAACTTCCTCTTCTCAGTATCAGGGGTCTTGTACTCGCCTTTTGCCACATCCTTCAGCTGCTCTAGGACTTGTTTCACAGCGTAGTCAAATGGAACCTAGAAAGTAGATGCCAACATATCTCAGATGAATATGAACAAATAAACAACTTACCGAACCATATATATATATGTACATATATATATATATTTATATATATATATATGCATTTACCTTGTTTACTTTTAAGTCCAAGAAAATGATAAATTAAGGAATACAAAATATGGATGACATACAGTAAAATGCTTCAATCAACAGGATCAAATATCAAAATATTCCATAAATTGCATTCTAGACAATCAAGAAAAGGATAAGAAGTCATTGACAGTGCCATGTAGACCCTCTGACATAACTTACTAGAATCTATGACAAACATATAGGAAGTATCAATAATTGATTATGATTGTTATCATGAGAACTCTACTGGTGTTTCTCTTGTTCATCATGTTACTACTTGACAAATCAAAATGAGTTGATAATGGAAATAACTTACATGATGGAGACCAAACAAGAGAAGAATGAAATCCACCTTAGCTGATCAATAGTTGATAGAATAACTAATTAAGGAGATATGCACATGATAAAGGTTGTTATAATAGATATTAAGATTATATGCCTTGTGGAAAATTCAGCCCTTCATTGAACAATTAATTACCTCCCAAGTAGGAAAATGGCAGCCATCAAACAGAAATTGGTATTATTTGACTTCTTTTCTGTACATGGTGCATTAAAGTTTAAACAATGGTTTTTCTGTAGATTGTAACTTTAATAGCATTTACTTATACAGATAATGATATTATTGCTTTTAAGTAGATTCTACATTGAACAAATGTTTTTTCAAATTGTAACTTCAATAACAATTGCATACTAGATGGTCAGGATAAATGATATGCATATATATAGGGTGCACAAAGATGCTGTCACAGCCATGATAATGTACTACATGAATTTAAACTGGAACCATGTACAGAAAGGAATCACCTTTGCTGACTGTAGTAAAAGAAATTGTACAATGTGCAAAATAAAAACCTAACATGGTCTTGCACCTGAATGGAGTTAAGATGATCAGCATTTCCAAACAAAATCTCTCGCAGCCTTTTCTCCCAACGAGCCCACTCTTTTGCATATGAGCCTTTGGCAGGTTCCATTCTATGTTGACAATGTTTTTTGTTAGTTAACATGCAATAGGAAATCATTTCCATTTAGCTATTAAGATAGAAGAGTAAATTAAAAAAAATGGAAAACCAATTTCTGGAAAGAAATTTAGAGACACGATTAATTTTTTGTATTCCGATATATACAATCATCTGCAGTTAATCTAGCTTTAGGTCAATAAATGACTCGATGATTTCATCCAAATTCTATTATTATTGGGCAATAACTTCAGAAGAATGGATTATTCTCTTTTAAAGAACAAAAATAGGGCTGGGCACGCAACAGGACGGCATTACATTAATACTAGGTATTGCTCAAAGGTGTAAGATGAACAACAACACTGTCCACATCACAAGTGATTGGCTGCACCATCGACAGCAACAATTACTGATTATTACATTTTCAAAACTAGCAGTTACTCGGGGTCTGCAGTACCGAACTGTACCGCCCGGTATGGGCAGTACGTACTGGTCCGACCGGTTGTCGGTACGCGGACCGCCTGTTACCGGTCCGAGTGTAATGTAGCACTGTAGCAGTGCTACAGTACTCGTCACACCTGAGTGTACCGCTCGGTATACCCTACCGTACCGGCACCGAGCCCAGATCGAAATACCAGTACGGTACGGTATTGCGAACCTTACAGTTACTAATGTTTTGCTACATTTCCATATTGATAAACAGAAAACCTCAGGTAGGAAGTCAGACCTAATAATAAATAAGAGGTTTTCAAAGTGAAGCAAAAAAATTAAACCAACAAAAAGGCAGAGCAGGAAAGCAAATAAAATAGAGAAAACTAACAAGTAACAAGTAAATATCACTAAAACAGAGTGTTGCAATATGAACAGAATATATGAGAAGAGAGGTGGGGAGAGAATAATGATTGGAGGGGCTGAGGCAGGGGAGAGAGATGGTCGGAGGAAGAGAGGGCATCTTAAAAAATGATGCGATTAAATAAGAGAGGATTACTTTCTTTCTCATGTTAAGCCTAATTTCAAAATTGATACAATTACCCTCTTAATTAATGAAAACATTTAAGTCATGGGTATTTGAGTAATCTTATCTATATTTACAAAACTGAATTGATTTTATTGATCTGGCCAATTCATATGGGTTATCCAAAAACAGGTCAGGTCAACCGGTTTTTTTGCAATTTTTTAACAATAACTGATCCAACAAGTAAATTAGACCAGTTAGTGGTTTGGTTCTTCATTTTTCTGGTCCAACACTGGGTTCAGTAAGAATCTAATAACTATGCTTATACATATCGATTTGGTCACCAATCAGTATTAGTATCAGACCAAGATTTATCGTTGAAAACTTGTGCTTGATTTGTAAGGTGAATGAATCCGCAAAAACTACATGAAAGTTTGCAACAAAGAAGTTCTAAAAACCTCATGTATAAAGAAAGTTTGTTAGTAGTTAATGTCTCATCAAAATCTATATTGAACAAAGATAAAGTCATGATTTAAATACATGTCTAATCTTAATCAGAGGTCACAGTGAGAGGTCATCATCAGATTCATCACAATAACATACATAACATAGTGTTCAGTACTCACTAGACCTTAAGAGTGTTTCCATACAACAACAAATAAGACAGTTGTTTAAAATTGAAGGGGCGAAAGGGACAGAAAGGTAGAAGGGGTAAATAGGGGAAAAAAAGAATCAGGTGTACTAACACAAAGGTTAAGGGAAGAAGATAAACAAGCGTCATTTGGCCTATGAAACTAAGATTCAGTTGATATATTTTTATTCAATAAAATTTCTCTAGTTCTATTTGAACATATGAGACTCGCGGTAACGATGTTTTTGAATGCAGAGAGGCTCCTATTAAGAAATAAGAAAAAAAAAATTATCCCCAAAATTTTCCTCATAATTTCCTGCAGATAGATTTTCTTTTCCACTCAAAATGACTTGGACTCCTAATGGCCATCTGTTGGTCAAGTCCAATAAAAATCCACCTGACTCACCAACTGATTAAAGAATTTCAGGCCGAACCTCCCAACCACTTTGCATTAAATATGGTTCCCGCTTCTCTTCCCCATTCAGTACTGAAAAGCCTGTCATATTAATTAGCAATTCCCAAGTTGGAAAGTCAAGCGAAGTGAACAAGCAACACCAAACTTATCCTAATGTCAGAGTGGGTGCTTTAAGAGTCTGTCATATGCACTTAAGACACGTCCAATGATAAAATGAAGACATGTACATGATAAGATGGAACTGGATGAGATTCCAATGAGATGGCTTTCAAAACCATCTGACTGGTCTCGAATCTTGTTCATCTCTCATGGATTTGATGCTAAGCCGGATTTGATAGTCTAAGTAATTTGGAATTAATTTCATATTTGCATATACTTCAGCAAATATGCATATTACTAATGACAATCATATAACAGAAATGGCTATTTTCTGTAGGCTAATTTACATGGCAATACTACTGCATCAACACCATTAGACTAATGAATTCTTCAGAAATACTAATATAGAGATATCTTAGTACGTATTGTATTTTACCTTCCATGCCTGTTTGTGTGAAGTCTGTAAAGATTTATGCCTTCATTTAGTATATCCTTAACAGGATCAGGTAATGGATTCCTGGAAAACAGCACAAATATCTTCTGCATCATAAGGAAATAATGTAGGACAAAAGTCACCAAACCATGCAAGTTCTGTAGACTAATTGAGTAAGAAATATAAACTAAATCCCAATGCTGCAGGGTAATGAAGTTACAACTTAGTTCAGAATGTTTTCATTAAAACAATGTTATAATAGTTTTTATAGTTCATACCTATCTGGTTTGAGCAAAGGCATCTTGACCAATGAGCCAAAACGTTCATATAGTTCACTTTCAAATTCTCTGCGGTTCTGAATAAAATTCCCAATGTCAATTTATCAAAATGAAGTGAATAGTATATAAATTCCTCATCTTAATACACCATACCAAAGACTATCAAATTTACATGCCTTGCCATCATAGAGGTGGTAAAACATCAGCAAAACATAACCAGCATTTGGAGATGCCTTGTCCAGATTTCCCTTTAAAAGTAAAGCACAAATAATTATAAGTAAAAAAATTACAAAAATCATAAATAAAGCATCATTTTACTAAATCACAACCGAAAATTAGCGCATAGCAAATACCGGATGGTTTACTCGTTGAAGTACACGAAATATGAAGATAGCCAAAGCATCAAGTGAAAACGGATTAGAATCAGTTCCTGCAAATTAATATCAATCATCAAGATATGTACTTTCCAAACCATGAGTTTTGACCAGAACAATCTCAAGAAGTTTACATTGTATATAGAAACAATTTCACATTATAAACTTCACTAGCATTCACAAAGAAAACATTGCATTATTAATAAAAAACATCTATTTAGTGGAAAAAAACAAAATATACAACTAATTGCAGATATTTTAAAGCATTGTTGATAAAAAATGGATTGGATACAGGGAGTTTAATGCCCATATCCACTCTTAATTAGCCTAAATAGATTAGATAAATAATGCAATTTTTATAATCAGTTGGTTGCCTTCTTCAGGCCCCAGCCAGGCTTAGGAGTGTAGGATAGACCAGCATTAGTACAGCTGACTAACCTTTAAAATATTATGCAGACCAACAACTTAGAAACATAGCGGCTTAAGGCTGAACCACTCGTAAGGCATGCATAGGCATGTGATGGCTTCTAAAAGCTCCACCATGTGCATCATGGCTCAGGTGGAGCCACCTGGGGATGCTGGAGGGAGACTGAAGGGAAGTGGGTTACCAGTACATGGTTGATACCAACTACAGGTGAAATTCATTGCAATTCATGGTTGCCAATTTCACCTATTATTTAAAACGGCCCCCAATCTATTGGTCTTGTTAGATATAACTATGTATCAGTTCATAGTTTTCTTTTTGTGGTGTAAAGATAGCCAATGGGCATCTGGCCAATTCTCTCATCTCCAAGTTTGAGGAGTGACAACCAAATAGCCTAAAGGTGCCAACCCTAGTATTATTGGCCCCACAATATCTGCATGGACCCACTACTAGGTTCCAATCAAGGATTGAAATTTCGCATTGTACCGAAGTTTTGAGATTCCCTCGGTACGGTATGATACCGTATACCGAGCGGTACATTTCGGTATACCGCTCGGTACACACACACACACACACACACACACACACATATATAAGTAAAAAAAATCATTTTCTGTGATGTCGCCGAGGCGATGTCATAGAAAAATGAGATGACATTGCCTACATATATATATATAACCGTTTTCGCCGACATCGCCTCTCTTCTCCCCGCGACGCCGAGGATTCTTCTTCCCACGCGGATGAGGAGAAGTTGCCGACAGACAAGGAGGGAGAGCAACGCCGACTCCAGGTTCTCCCCTTCTTCTCCCTTTTCTTTCTTCCCTCGATTAATACCACCCTTCTCTTCTTTCTTCTCCCTCGATCACCGCCCGGAGCAGAAACAACCCCAATCGATGGTCCTGCCCGGTAGCGGGCGGTTCGTGTACCGGTCTGCTGGCAGACCGATACATACCGCCCATACCAGACGGTATCATTCAAAATTAAAAACCTTGGTTCCAATATCCAACCTAACCTAAGTAACACGACTGAACCAAACTCAAATCAAGGCCTGAATCAAGGCTGGAGTCAAGGCTTGACTGATTCTCGATTGGCCCTTTTGCTTAAAGGGGTCTTCTAATGCCACTAGAAGACCCTTCTAATCTCAAGACTATTACTCTATAGTTCCTTAGCATTCTTTGTTATCTCAACCTCTTTTGTTTCTCAAACTTTTCTTGGAAGAAACCATCCTTCCTTCAAAAAAATGGGCAATTGATAGGAAAGGAAAAAAAAATACTAGCAAGGGCTTTGTAAACATGGCAATTAGAATGTCGGATTTTATCATCTAATTCAATAACAATCGAGTAGCAACATGCTAGATTCACAATTTCAAGTATCTAAAAGTTAAAGGGGGCATGTGCATCAAAAGCCAAGGGTTTGATAATTCATATAACCTATCAAGTGTAAATATCAAGTATTTCCTTGCAAACTTTCAAAATAAATGCAAATGCCTTTCAGTTAAACCTTTGAGACGGATGGCTGTGCAGCAAAAACAATAGCTTTCTCTTTGAGTAGCATCATTATAACTAATTAATGTGTTGGTGGCATAGCCATGTCAATATAACATGGATAGACATCACCGGCAATAAGACGTGGCCAGTTTGTGTCAACATGTCCACCTGAGGGTAATATGGTATTTTGGCACCTTAGTGCTAATAACCATATATATACCCAGTTTAGCCCAGAATAGAGGTGATGGAAAATGCTACCTGTAGAGCTTCCAAGCTTTAAATGGGTAAGTGAGATATTCACAATTTTTGCGAAATATGTAGCACATTTCACAAGTTTGCAGGTTACATGGGCCAATTGTCCTGAGATTTCAACTTATTGAGCCAAATTTTCAAAAATAAATTGAAGCCAAAAGCAAGGTATTCTCTGATGTAATCAAGGAACTTGAACAACAAGTAAATGAATCCTACTGATCTAGAATGTTTCCATTAAAAGTAAAAATGTAATACAAGAACACAGTTTCACTTTAAAAATAAGTATAATCATTCACATTAATTGGAGCTTAAAGCTTACTATTTGAAGCATCAAAATCTATAGGCAACCTTAAAACTTTCAACATTTTATTTAATATTAGGACTAGCTATGGATAAAAGAAAGGTAAACAGAAAATTGTTGGCATTGCTTATACTAATTATGGGTCTATTTGGATCATGGTTTTGACTTTGAATACCAAATTGATACCAATTCCAACACATTTTCAAACTGATACGCACTAGTATATTGGGCAATATATCAAACTATACTGTCTGGTATCATTAAAAAATGTTAAAAATGAATCCAGCTGGCATAGAGCCATATGATCCAACATTGGTCCTTTATTACTGTTGGCTCGTATTAGTCAAACCAACATTTGAAACCATGCTTTAAATAATAATTTAATGAGATAACAAAGAGACAGAAAAGAGGCAAGGAAAAAGAAGATAGGCAAGGAGAAGAAAGAAGAGAAGACCACTTTCCCTTACCTTGTCTGGATCAACAGAAGGAAGAGAAAGGATCACTTTTATATCTTCCTTCTCTCCAAATCTCTCCAACTATTGGAGGATATGAAAAGGGTGTTGAGAGAATTTTAACACCTCTTTCATGACTTTAACCAAACAAGAGAAAGCTACTCTCTCTCCATTTCTCTCCTTATCAAATATAAGAGCCTACTTCTCTTCTCTCCACTTCTATCCATCCAGAAGGGCCATAAAAGTTGCAGAAAGTCAAGAATGCAAAAACAAATAGGAAAAGATTAACTTGCCAAAAACCAACAAAGCAAACCTTCGGATTCAGGTATGACAGGAACAGCAGAGGCCTTTGTACTTCGGCACATATCCTCAATCTGGAATTTGGACAAACCCTTTAAAGTTTACTTCCAAACTAAGAAAAACCTTCAATAAAGAAGTATATAACAGTAACTATGAGATTTGCGTACCTGCCTCCACACTTCCTCGTTCGGTGCATTTTTGTCAGCAAGAGTTATGGCATAGGGTCTTTTCTTACGCTCATCAGCAACCTTTTGCCAATATCTTCCTGCAACGATATGCTTGATCATGTTTATCAAACACATCATAAAAGGAAACCTCATGTACATCACAGATCAAACAAAGGTTTCATTTACACTGGTCGGAGATCTGGTTCACAAGCCAAGAATTTTTTTTTAGTTAAACAAGTCATAATGTCCGAACTATATGAGATCCGGTACACGGAGTTCCAGCCCAAGACAATATACATCTGCATGTACGATTAATACACATATATGAGATCCGGTACACAGAGTTCCAGCCCAAGACAATACACATCTGCGAGTGTTAGGGTTGGGGAAGTCAGGGAAATCGCAAGAGGGAGCCTGATATTGGTGATTTAGTTGGTTCAATTGAACCAACTAAAGCACCGGAGACCAACCAGACCTAAAAATCTGGTTCGGTCGTCGGGTCTGACCCAGGCGCTCGCCCGAAGCGCCCGAGGGCTCGGGCGAGTGCCTAGGCGGCACCTCTTTGAAGCGCGCCGCTTGGAAATGAAGCGAGGCACTCGGGCCTCGCCTCGCCTCGCCCGAGCGCCTATTGTAATCACTGGGCCAACCAACCAATTTTCTCCTTTTTTTTCCCTATTTACGGTGTCATATGGTACTATTGCCAACTTCTGCAACTCTGCCATCCCAACTTGCATACAAGGTACCAAAAATTGGCATGGTCCATTACCACAAATCAAGATATATCATTCTAGAAAGGTATTGAGATGCATTATACTGACCCATGGAATACGTAAAAACATATGGCTAGGCCAGTTTTTATATTACGCTAGCGGGGAATGCTGTCAACACACCCTCACACCATTAAACAGTACTGCTAGCAAGATAATCTACCGATAGTTGCAAAGACATCATTCATAAATAGGTAGCCCATCACAAGTCTATAATCCTCTTCTATACCTAATCTGCTGAACATCTATGAGAATGTATTCCTTTTGGTCATATCAATCTTGTTATTGAAAATGTCATGCACTTTGGATGGATCAAAATTTCAGATGAAAGAAATTAGATGGATCAAAACAATTCCTTTTGGAAATTGAAAACTATTTCCATGAACAGGAGAACAAATTAGATGGATCAAAATTTCAGATGAAAGAAAAAAGGAAGATATTCCCCCAAACACTTTGGATGTTACTATTAAGCACCAGTCAAAGATATAAAAAACAATAATTCTCTCTCCAAATGTATTGTAAATTTAAGAAACATATGCTAAACAAGTGGTACAATTGGATACTTCAATTGCCAATACAAACCAGATGACGTGATACCTGAAATACCTCAACCAAACAAATTTTCAAAAATTTCAAGCATATCAGTAGAATACAAATTGGTATCTACTGGACAGACACTGAGTGAATTAATATGTGAACTGACCAGTTTTGCCCACCATTAAGACTAGGCATTCTACCCGACAGTTAGACCCAAGTGTACTTAGCAGTAAGCATATTGTTGGTACCTCGATTTGGCAACCTTTTCCTTCAAGCCCAACTCAGCCCATTTGCCATTTTTGAACTTTAGGCTTTCACACTCTCCAAACTTGATTGTTCTTAATTTGAGATCTCGGATCAATATCAAACAATTTTGTCTCCGAAACATGGTAAACTTTAATATTAAATTCAAAACTTTTGATTATTCATTGTTGAATGAAATTTGTAAACTTGTGAATTCTTTACCTTTAGGTCATGATATCATGAATCTGGCTATTGCAATTGGTTAGCAAAGGGAAGGCATTGCGGAGACCTCAAGTCAAGGCAGAACTCGGCTACCCAAGAAGAACTTGGATGTACCAGTGTCGAACAGAAGGCCATGAACATCAAAGAATGGGGCATGGTACCACATCAATGGGTCTTCCGAGCAATAACCAAACTATGCTCAGGAGGGGAGAGCACAGTTTCTGTCGTAAATGGGATGTGATCCCAAAGGCATGACCAAAGCTATCGAATAAGCTATCAAAGTAAAGGAATGGGAATTTGGGTGTAACAGATCAAACTAACCAAATTCTCCTGAACTAAACAATGGAGCATCAATGGGAAGTCCCTTCGAAGTGCTTAGAACCCGACAACCATCCACTCCTCGCCTTTGGGTGATTGACTAAAGGTAGTATATCCTCTTATTGCATTACCTAAAGAAAGGGAAATAGTGCAGACCTACTTGGAGGAGATGATGAAGGATTCAAAGTTGTCAGGGAGAATTTTGCGGGAGAAATCCATAGACTACTGAAGTTCTACGATATGGTATTGGCAAAGCTCTAACCAGCAGCATTCAATCTCTTGTAGGGTGACACCTCAAAAAGGATTGATTGCAAGCATGAAGGTTCTTCACTTATCGACCAACAAATCCAAGGGATTCAATAAGGAGCAAACCAACTCTGCCAACTCCTCAACTGAAAATGTTCAGCGGCAAGTTGGAACAAAGTGGGAGGATTAAAATTGACACATTAGTAGAAGATAAGAAGCGCGTTGCAAAATGAGATGATCAAGTTGCGGCATTTAAAAAGGCTTTGTTGAGGGCATCGAAGGAATAAGTAGGAGAATATCATGCAGATACAACCAAGCTGTTTTGACACATGATGATGCTTGACTGTTGCACTTTTCGATGTTGTGTTACAGTTGACTATCTCATAGGCAGCTTGTGCAGTGCATAAAGTAGTAATGTCAGCCCCATATTGCTTTCTTGGCAGTGTGTTTTTCTTTTTGCCTTCTAAAACTCAGAAATATTTCTGGTTGTGTGACATCGCACACAGGGGAAATAACCATAATAGTCCCATTCTTGGGCTCAAAACAATAAACCCAATAGTGAATAGTACCTTGACCATACTCCCTATATGCAGCTCTTCTTAATTTACTTCATGTGTGGCACAATTTTAGATGACGAAGGAGCATTATCAGTCATCAATTTCATGAACCTATAATTTTAATCTACAACTATCTAATGTTGGGGACTATGTCCCACAACAAGTTCCAAAGAGTTAAGATTTCTGGTAATCTAGCCACTCGTATGACATTTATAATTTTGACTTTTACTTGGCATATACTTATTCCAGCACCCTTTACAATCTTTCTTACACATTTTTTCTAGATATATGATTTATCTATAATCCGGAAAACAAATTTTGATTCATTATGGAGAAAAAAACTGTTTTTATTTAAAACCAAGAGGGAGTAAATAGGTCTGACAGTTAGGCTCTTACCGGTCAACAACCTGTTTTGATGTGCTAATACTGTACCAGTCCATGAGTGTAACTGCACCAACATTGGATTGAGATTTTAGTCATTGGTTAAATAAGTCCACTAAAATCTTAATATTTGACTGAATGGGCCAACTAAGTTCTCAATCCATGATTCGAAAGTCTCCATGCCAAAGAGTGTACCCAACTGAGGAAAACAAAATTTTAAAATGTGCCAAACACGTACGAAATCATCAAGAAGTATAAATTTACATATTTTAAATATTTGTCTGGCTGATCCCATAACCAAAATTTGTTGTACTGGCTGGAAGGGCATAGTAGGCATCACTGCATTGTATCAAGCTTTTGGAAATGCAGAACAGAACAATCACAAATTGTGCACGTGTATACAGAGATCATGGGCAGTGCAATCTTATGTACCAGCTGTCCAGAACCTAGATAACTATCTGATTAGAACAGTGTGCCAACTATTTAAAACATGATAGAGCAATACCATTCGGAGAAATAACCAGGACATGTATTTTCCTGCTCAATAAATATATTTAAAATCATGAACAGTAATATATCACTGCATAATATTCATCATAAATCTAAGTCTTATGAATATTCACAAACCTTTTATAAGATCACCCATCAAGCTGTGCACAGGGCGGTTATCGCCGAGGCCACCAGGAGCATTCAGTATTTCTTTGCATAGAGCAGACTTAGCACAGCCTGGTATACCTGATAAGGTAGAAACAAAAATAATAAGGTGGAATAAACTTATCAGAATCATTAATGAAATGATAGAGATTCTTGAAAAGGCACAAAAAGAAAGCAAGCTATCAGTATGGTACAGGAAACATCATGCCTGAGAAGAAGCAGCAGAAGAAGTCTGATATCTCATTTGACTTTAATCGCTTACCTTGTAATCTCAACCAACCGTAATGTCCTAAATCTACTCTCTACATAAAATTAGAACATCACTTCCTAGACCAGTCTAACCACTTAGAAGAATTTTGCATTTTAATAAAGAGGCCTTTAAGTAATATCACTGACATAGTAATTGTTCTTTTTCCTTCAGCTAACATTATCTAATTATTTTACAAGATGCATTAAGCTTGTTTCGTAACTATTCAGCCATTATGTTGATAACAGTTGAACTAAAATAGTCTGCCAATAAAATGCATATGAATGGTCAAATTCCTCCAGAAATAGTTGCAGAAATGCTTTACTACAGAAAGGAGGTTGGCACAACCAGATGTAAAAGATATACCTGGAAAGAATACAATAAGACCCTCATCTTTCAGAACTGTATCCTTGGCTGCATGAGTGGGACTTGAAGGTGCTTCCACATCATGATGAATGTCACCTTCTTCATCTCTACCTGCCTCTATTATAGCCAATAAATTCTCAGTCCTAACCAAGTTGCCTGCCGCTCCAACCAATACCTGGTTTTGTGGACTTCGAGTAGCATATTGCTCCAGGAAGGGCTCTGCCTCACTAAGGTAAGTTGATGTCGACAACTGTTTGTTTCCATACTTCCTTCGTATATAAACAGCCCTGATAATGGTAACAGTTCAATCAATGCACATATGGGGAACGCTAATTTGAATATCAAGATCATAAAATCCAGGTAGATATAAGCAACAAAATTTTGACTATCAAGGAAATGCTAATACCATTCGTCCAACATTTTGCTAAGCTCTCGCTGCTTGCCAGCTGATGTTCCCCATATTTTCATCTGCCTATCAAATCAAACAAAAGGACACTGTTTTTATAGTGAACATAGATTCAGAAGATGCTCCAAATGTGTTAATGATATGTTATTTGGAAAAAAAAAAAGAACAAAACTTGTCAGCGAGATTAACATATAAGCAAATGCTTTCTCCAAAACATGAAGAATATGTATAAATAATATTGATCAAACGTGAGAATTACAGCATTAACTGACTAAGTAAACCAAAAGAAATAAAGAACCAACACCTAAGGTTAATTGAGTTACAGGCTTACAGCATTTACTAAGTGGGTTGAAGGACCTTCACTCTTCCAGCATCGGGCATGGGGCATGGAAGCATGAATAAGATCATGGTTTAAAATGCTGATCAAATAAATACATAACCAACAGTATTTATAGTCCAAACAAGTACTGGAAGTGGACAAAGTAACTCAGTATTGTTTAGTATGACACTCATTTTATTGTTCTAATAATTATATTCAGAGATACCAAGTGATATAGGTCAACATACTGCTTGGAATTTTGATATCATGTTGGTCTGACGTCTTACTGAAACCGCTAATGAACCAGTGTTTAAACTAAGAATTTTAATTTCGAGTGATACCACCCGATACATATCGGTCTACTGGGCGAACCGCTCACTACTGGGCAGTACTGTTGATCTAGCCCCGTATCGGATGATACGGAGCTGTATCGAGCAGTAAAAGTCGAAATATCGATAATGATCGATTTCGACCATCGCCGCCCGCAATCGGGCGGTATCAGCCTGGCTACGACGAGGGAAGAAGAAGCGTCGAGGGAGAAGGCGCTCGAATAAGAGGGAGAATCAAGAGAACCTCGACGCTTCCCGATCCAAGAGGTAACAGAGAGACGACGGCTCGGCTTCTTCGCTGCGTTCTTTGCCGAAGGCCGAAGACGCCTGCAACCTTTGTCGAAGGCCGGAGAGGTCTACGGCCTTCGACATCTTCGCCGAACTGTCACGAACTTAGCTCGTTTTGCCTAAGTCGTGCGGTATCCTTGCATGTCCGTCCGCAAAGGTCAGCCTCCCCGAAACCTCACATGGTCCCTTAGGACCTATAAAAGAGAAAACGAGTTAGAGAAAGCGCCTCACTCGAGATCCACAAGCAAACATTTCCGAAAACACCTCATATACAATGCAAATACAAACAGACTTTACAAGCTCTGAACGGTTGCACAACAAATGATCAAAATGGTCCATTACAAACCGAATATCTCTCACAAGTGTCCACATGACACAACATTTATTTACAAGCCTAAGAAGGCCACCAAACCCAACTAAAATGGGACTGTTAAGCTTTCGACCGTTCCTCTACATGCTGTGCAAAGCATGAACAAACAGAAAGACATGGACATACACAAGTATTACATCAAACATCCTGTTTAGAACTTTGTCTGTGACAGAACGCCATAGATGAGGAGAAGACCACATACGCCTCCTCATCTGACACGACGAGAAAAAAGAGGCAACGTACGAGTATTTTTATATTTATATATATTATTATATATATATATTATTTTATATTTTTATCTATTGATTTTTATTTTTTATATTATATTTTTATTTTATTATATATATATATATATATATATATATATATATATATATATATATATATATATATATATATATATACACTGAGTGGTACACCCTGACGTACCATTCAATATGCCTGTACCATACTATATCGAGCAAATCTCGAAAAACCAATGTGGTACGAAATTAAAAACCTTGGTTTAAATCTTTGGGTGAGATGCCTTTTTTTCTCTCTCTCTCTCTCTCTCTCTCTCTCTCTCTCTCTTTGCTTTAAGGTCTGTCAAGTGACTGACACAGGGCAGTAGAGCAGCAATAAAGTGGCCTGCTTCCTCTCTTCCTCTTATTCCTCTTCTCATCTCATCTTATTCTTTTTCATCGGTGGCAGCACAGAATCCTAGGCACATATAGTATGTGTCCAGGATGTTCAGGATGCATACAAAGTCCAGGGAACAATGACTGAAAATCAGTCATTGGGTCATCTAGCACTTATAATGTCAGCACAGGCAAATACAGGAGCTCAAGATAATAGAATTAACTTTTGGTATCTTAGTTATTCTTTCAATTATGTTTTACCTAGTACAAACAGATAACAACACCATTTAGTTTTCGTTTAATGCACAGCACTGGATACTGGATCGACATTTGCATCCACCAATGTACTTGACCTACTAACTGGAGGTCAATCCTCCTGAAAAAAAATGTAGCGGAACTTTATCCAGATTACTGAATAAATTGCTTGCAATTTACAGCTCTGATTATCATAATTATCAAACACATCTAGTATTGTACCTATCTTGGTTCGTTTAGGACATTTGAATTGTAACCAGAAAATAAAGCCTTCAACAATTATGAGAGCTGTGAATCCAAAATGGTTTTTGGAACTATTAAAAATTTTAGGATTTGTTATTTTGTTCATGGTTTGTTCACCTTAGCAGACCATGCATGTAAATTTCTTCAACATATACAAATCTGTAAATTTCTTCCACTACTTTCTGTATTTAAATGATTTTCAGATGACCTGTTACTAAAGAAAAAAAAAAGATAACGTTTCAAGTAACAATTTGCTAAACTCTTTCCTGGCTTCAATATCTTACAAATCTATGAAGTCTTGTAACTACCAAATTGATAGTCCAAACAATGCTGACTTATCCACTGATGTCATTTGCTTATATATTCCTACAAAAGTCCAACATATAGTTACCGTAGTGTGTCGAAGCTTCAGTAGCTTCATCAAAAATAGTCAGAGACCATTGTTTTTTCATTTACTTGTATGGGCACCATTACTGAAAATAAATGATACTAAGTTTATGTTGGACGTCCATCTTGGGGGTTTTACCAACGAAATTAATCTTAGCTAGATGAAGATGCAGACAACTAATATTTAAAAAGTATTGGTTTTTTTATTGGATAAAATGCAGAAAAATAAGATAGACAAAATGACCAAACAAAAAAAAGAAGAATGATACTGGAATGCATGATAATGTCACAACTAGAATGTGATCTTTGTAATGACATTGTCTCCTAAATATTCAAAGATATTTTAAAAGAACCTTAGTAATTACAAAAACATAATTTACATATTTCCACGATTTTGTTTAGAATAAAGAAGTGGATGCTTGCCTCAAATAGTAAGTTTTATAGGCCGACGGACCATCCTTGAAAAGTATAGATAAACCATTTCGGATCAAGAACGTCCTTAACTGCACATAATAACAAACAAAAATAGTACCCAAAAGAAAACAAGCTTGCTCAGAGAAACTTTTTCCAGAAGTTAACAGATATTGGTTGGAATTGCAAAGACTTTGTTAATAATAAAAATATATCCAGAATTCCAGATTCCAGATTACATGATAGCCAAAGAAACAGAAATACTAAATTCCTATTGTAACTACTGTATGTTGTAGAAAGGTCTCTGCTAACAGTAACAACTGTGTCATAATGCTCATGTGCTTCATATCACAAAAGAAAGAAATCATACCTTGTATGTCAGAAATTTTAATTTGATCATCAGATTTGCATCCTCATCTGCAAGACCATCTGCCACTAATGAACTGGCCTCGAGGTTGCCATTAATATTCTTCAGTAAAGAATTACTGTCTTTTGCAAAATCAGTAGCTCTTTCTTTGTCAACTTTGAACAAGTTAACATCGACAAAGAAACCTATCATCAAGAGAAGAAATACAGCAGCTCTTATAAGAAGAACCATGACAGGAAACTAGGTCTACAGTGTTAGATTTCAATAGATAATGAAGAAATTGAACATAGAAAAAGAGGAAAAAGAAACTTATGGAAAGAGGTCTCATACCCCTGTATAATGGCCACAATCCTCGGTTTCTCCTGGAAGATTAAAGAAGCATTTATAGTTCAAAATACATGGATGTTTACAACTAAGTTGTACACATTTGAAGAGAAAAGGTTAAATAATCTTGGGAGATAAGCAATGTGTACCTCATCTCTTGCTGATATCTTCGGAAAACAGAATCACTGTGGATATGGATAACCATCTTATAGTGGATATTGTCACTTGATAAGGAGTTGACTTTGTGGAAGTTGTAGTAGCACTTAAAAGCAGCAGGAAAATGCCTTTGTCTAATTAAGCGTATCATCTCCTGTTGCAAATTTAATATAGAATCATGTATAAGACAACAAGCTGCTAGGGCCTTTAAAAAAATAAAATTATTAAAACAACTGACCATCCACCACAACATGCCTATTATAAGCAGAACTGCATAAATTGAACTGTTTCTAAAGCCAACTGTAGGAACTTCACAATCTATCATGGCCAATGAAATGCCAAAAATAAAGAAAAAAGAAACAAGGCCCAACCCAGACCCCACTCTCAATGCCTGAGGCAAGACAAAAGTCCTCTTTTGGTTCAATTTATTTTCTTCAAATTGATCCTGCATGATTATTACTTAGCATGCTTGTATAAGTAAAAATAGGCAGAATCTAATTCAATCAGAGCTGATGCAACTAGAGACGAACAATGAACAAGCCTATCAGTATTCACTAAGTTGCTTTCAACGTCAACAAGATCACTAGAATCATGCATGCAAATCCAATCTAGAAAATTTAGTAAAGGGAGAACATACAAATTACTTTCAAAGGATTTTGACCCATCAATGAAACAATTGTGGCCTTCTCAAGTCATTCTTAATTGAGTGAGAAAGTGGTGTTATCAAGCTCCCTCAGAGAGTCGTAGGAGTAATAGGACTTTATTATTTTACAGTTACTTCTGAAAGTACTTTCGTTATTATTATTGTGATATTTCAGGGAATCTAGAGTGCAATTCTAAGTCTATTTGTGTCTGGGAGCCTTAATATAGTTAGAACAAGTTGTTTGATTCTGAGGATGTATTAATAGTAGTAATCTCTTTAAATGATTGGAGGAATGATAAGATAACCAAAAAAAGGAAAGAGTTTAATCTCAAGCCCTCTGGATAATATATAAATGGTTCTGAGACAGGTTTTTCATTGACGCACTTAAATATTCATGTAAGTTACATATCTCTTGTTTTTTGTCACTCAGAGGCAGGCCGATCTTGAAATGGAGAAAGCCATGATAGATAGATCATATACTATCAACTGGTATTAAAGTAAGGCAATCTACCATGTCTTCTGACATCACCAACTACCGTGACAAATTGCATCTTAATTGTGCAAAATCACTGGTGGAGATTCACCACTATTTCATACCAGAGACAAATCTTAATGCTGCAAGGAGTGCAAGTCATGTGCGGTAAGAACAAAATGTAAGAATGTGAGGATTCCAAGATACATTCTCAAGGGTCAACAATTGTATGGTATCTTCAACACATTCTACCATCACCTCTGGACCTTGAAAGAAATTTTAGAAATCTCGACAACCCTCCACATTGGCATGGAGTAGTCAACAGCTTGCTCTGGAATCACACTATGAAGCAAGGTTCTAAATTTCAAATGATACCGCTCGTACCGGGCGATACGTACTGGTACGTGGACCACTCGCTACCAGGCGAAACACTTGATATAGCCCTATATCGGACAATACAGGAATGTTTCGGGCAGTAAAGGTCGATTTCGACCGTGACCGCCCAGCCACTATCGGGGAGTATCAACCTAGCTGTGGCGAGGGAAGAAGAAGCGTCAAGGGAGAAGGAAGAAGAAAGAGAGAGCGTTCAAAGAAGAAGGAGAAGAAGAGGGAGAATCGAGAGAACCTCAACGCGTCCCAATCCGACGTTGAATTCCCTCGACGACCCGATCCAGGAGGTAACGACCAGGCGACGGCTAGAGCAGCAAAAGAGGTGGTCTCCTTCATCACTTGGTCTGCGATTTCGCAGCTTCTTCTTCGCCAAAGGCTGGAGACGTCTGCGACCTTCGACGTCTTCGCCGCCTTCTTCACCAAACACCGCAGATGAGATGAAGGAGATCACGTTCTTCTCCTCATCTGAGGCGACGAGAAGAGGAGGAGGTGACGTCATCCAGGCAACGTACTGTCACGACCTTAGCTGGAATTGCCTAAGGCGTGCGGCACCCTTGCGGCCAAAGACGCGAACTTAGCTTGCGTTGCCTAAGTCGCGAGTCACTCTTGCGGCAAAGACGCGAACTTAGCTTGCGTTGCCTAAGTCGCGCTTCGCCCTTGCGATCTTGCTCCGCAAGGATCAGCCCACTTTGTAACCTCTCGCAGGTCCTGAAGGACCTGTAAAAGAGAAAGAGAGTTAGATCGAAAGAACGAGCAACGGACAAGTCCCGAAGTCTCGCGAAAAGGAAAGCTTTACAAGCAATTCGTCGAACACCTTAGTGTGCACAAGAGAAAAGAGGGANAGAG